TTTTTTTTTTTTTTTTTTGGTTGTAGTTGTTTTGTTGTTTGGCTAGCCGGGCTGGATTCGAACCTGCCAGCTCTGGTGTATGTTCTGAATCCTTTTGAAAGCAGCAATTCATTTTCTAATTAGCTTTATGTAAAACAGATTGTTCTTACAGGATTTGCTTTAAAGTGGGCTGTGCCAGAGGACATGATTTGAGCTGAGATTTACTATAGTGCTTTCAAGTGATGAACGGTGCTTACTCTGAGTGGGCATGAAAGCTACCTTTCCTTTTGTCTTCTCAGGGGCTAGGTTTGATGATGGTGCTGGAGGTGACAATGAAGTGCAGAGAACAATGTTGGAACTAATCAATCAGCTGGATGGGTTTGATCCTCGAGGCAATATTAAAGTGCTAATGGCAACTAATAGACCTGACACTTTGGATCCAGCACTGATGAGGCCAGGGAGGCTGGACAGAAAGATTGAATTTAGTTTACCTGATTTAGAGGTAAGGAAACTATTTCGTTTTAGAAAAGAGTCCTGAAATTTTTTTCTTCCTGTGACATTTTTCCATTTTAATATTTGTCAATTCAATTCCCTTATTTTTAGGGTCGGACTCACATCTTTAAGATTCATGCTCGTTCAATGAGTGTTGAGAGAGATATCAGGTTTGAATTGTTAGCACGACTCTGTCCAAATAGCACTGGTAAGTGGAAAGGTTTTGATTATATTTATTGGTCTGTCTGTTCAGGCTGCTTTAATTAAACCTATTTATTTCTTTTTTGTTTAAAAGGTGCTGAGATTAGGAGCGTCTGCACAGAAGCTGGTATGTTTGCAATCAGAGCACGGCGAAAAATTGCTACTGAGAAGGATTTCTTAGAAGCTGTAAATAAGGTTATTAAGTCTTATGCCAAATTCAGTGCTACTCCTCGCTACATGACATACAACTGAGCCCTGAGGGCCTTCAAAGGAAAACACTTCTTTTAATTGGAATCTTAACCTTATATAGACTTGTTAATAACCAGTTGACAAAAAAAAATAAATGGCTTCAAAATTATATACTTTTTCCTAGATCTCCTTTCTCTGTCATGTAATAAAGGTGATATCTAATGTCATTAGGCAGGGAAGCTTGTTAGAATGTATAATAAGTAGTTTTTGACCTACTACCATTTAAGTTTCATATATAAAGTTCATGTGTACACCATGTGTGTTCTGGGCGTATGCTGGCTGGGTGCTGTACATATGTTGTCATTATATTCTCCCATCTAACCAGTAAGGAGGATCAAATGGATCTTGATCTAATGGGCACAAAAACTTTCCTACTTAATTATCTTGTGTAGTGGCAGAGCTGGGATTCAAATCCAAGTCTGTCAGCTCCACTACCTATACTTCTTTCATGCTGTTCTGTCTCTCCTCTCATCAAAGTAGCTCCTTCTAGACACAGGACATGCATTAGGATAGTTTTACCCTGCTTTGTTAAATAATCAAGCCAAAGCTCTGTGTGGTGGAAGAAGCATTTGATGTACTAAGTTTTGCACTGCCATTTGACAATGATTTCAAATTAATCAAGAAGAATTTTTGCTTAAGTTCCTGTTAGACTTCTGGTCTACAGTGAGGTATTTTCAAAATGAAGGTGGTACTAGAATCCTCAACAGATCTCCTTAAAATTACGTCTGTGCAACTACCACCAAATCCCATCTTCCATCACAATTACCTCTTCCCGATACTGAGACCAAAGCACAGTAAGGAATATTTTTATTAAAGTTCAATAGTCATAAATAAGTTGCACAATAATGAGAGCTGGATGAATTCATAACTCACAAAAGGAAAAGTTGACAACATAGAAAATGCTTTAAGTGTTGCACTGAAATACTGAAATTTATGAAAGTCTTCAAGTAAAAAATTAAAGGCTTTTATTTATACAATCCAACCAACCCGCATTCTTTCTTGCTTTTCAATTTTGTAAACTTGATCAGAAAAATTCATTATTTTTTCTAACCCTGCCCTGGTCTTTCTTGAGGAATGAAACAGAGTAAACTATTTTCAGGTTATGCTTACAATAAAATATACTTAAGTAAATGATTAAAAATGTATGTTTTTAAATGTTTTGATTAAATAAACATAATAAGCATTTAGAATACACTTGGAAGTTTTTCCACTTTTTCATATAGTCACATGCCAGTATACACCAACTCAAATTGGATATGTTGAGCTTTCAGCCCTAACATACATAGACCAAATAATCTTGACATTTCAGTTACTACATGATAAAAATCTAACTGGCCATCCATCAAATATATGATGACTTATTTGAAGAGTTTGAGTTTCTGCATAGCCATGTATATGCAGGTAGCATCAACATTAGATGAGCATGTTTGTACCCTACTTAAAAGATAAAATATACATTTTACTGGTAACGCCATCTAAAATCTGTGTGTATGTACATGTGTACATGCACATAAGTATACATATATCAGGGTGCTGATAAATCAGGATACAAATCAGGATTTTAGAAAAATACCAGGTAGAGTTCCTTTAAAGAACTTTTTTAACATTTAAAAAGTGATTTGATATAAAAAATTTAATTACCATGATGCTTCTCAGGTTCATTTATTACGTAAGGTGAAATGTCATGTATACCAGTACAATGAAAAGCCTAGTAGCCTTTTTGGAAGGCAAAGTAGATTTTTAAGATGCTCAAGCTTGACTGAACCTAAGTCAGTATGCAGGTACGTTACGTGGTACAGTGCTAGCTTCGAACATTTTGTTGTTGGGATTGGAGGGGTTTCAAAACCACTGCATGCATTTTCCTTGGCTATATATTCGGAGAATTAGATAAAAGCTTTTTATCAGTTCTCAAACTTTTTTTTTATCAGCACTCAAAACATAATATCAAGAGTCTAAACAAACTAAACGTCCTAAAAACATTCATGAAAGGTGCACTCAAAAGGACCAAACACACGCTTGCACTCCCTAAAGCCTACAGGCTCACACAAGGAAATTTTGCTTGATTTTAGAATTTAAATTGATTTGCTATCTTTAAAGGGGCAGATATGATAGATAAAGCCTTCCCCACCACTACTCTTCCCTCCCACATCCCCACACAAAGGCACACCCCCCCACCCCCCCACACACAGAAAAACACACCCACTCGCCCAGGACAGATCTCTGGGTTTACCACCCCCTCTCTTCCTGGCACACACAAGATGGCAGACTCATTTTCTCAAAATGTATACTTTAGAGTCTGTATACTTTCCCTGCTCAACAGGTAAGGAGATAGGACTAAACCATACATGCTGGAAACCACAAAATGAGCTACTGCCATGGCTTGAAGGGGATCCAAACCCTTATTGTTTCTCTGGGTCACGCTGCAAATGATTATGGCAGTTGGGACCCCATTATCAACTGCCATAAGCTCTGTAGAGTCAATGTCTATGATCTAAATCGGAGTTTCCCGGGCCCTGGTTCACAGTTGTTTTCAAACATTCCATACATTCATAAGGCAGAGATCAGCCGCTGTCATTGCACAGGATGAGAGGAAGTCAAAGGACTTCTCTTCATAGGACCGTCCTGAAAACAGGGCTTTCCCATATTGCCATAAAGTAAGGATAGTCCCTACAAATACCAATGTAGATTATGCCCATTTAGATAGGATAATATGAAAATATGAATCTGAACTTGGAAAACACAGGTACATACCAGCAGCTATTAAAGCCCAGAAAGAATAGATGGGCTTATGTAGTAATTACCTGGAAAGGTAAGAGACAAGACTGTAAGACAAAACAGGTTAGGAAATTTTCCACTGTATGAAATAACTCTTAAGTAAAACATTCTGATGTATTTACATAGAGGAGAAATGATACTGTTTTTAAAATGCACTCATGTCTTAAGATGCTAAAAATGCTAAAACAAAAATATATTTTCCCACCTTCAATAAGACTTACATGTTTTTTATGTACATGACAGAATTCTATTCAAAACAGTTAAAAAATTAAAGAACAGAAAAGTTACCTACAAACACGCAAGCTACAGACAAAGCTTTTTTTTGCACACTGCTTTCAATCTACCAGTCACTGGGAACTGAGGATCTACTGTATAGAAAGCATTTGTTGATGACTAGTGCTAAAGAATAGGCAGTGAAGCATTTTATAACGTTGTTTAAAATCCTTAAATTCTATTAAATGGCTGCAATGATATGGGCCCTTTCACAAAGGTTTCTCGTATAAGCTGAGTTTCTACAACTATGTGCTCTTTCAGAAGGCAGTCTGTATCAGAATGCAGATGTATCTGGTCTTGTGTGTGATGACTGCAAAGGAAATAACTGGATCGAAATCTAATTTCACTCTAGAACTACATAAATTATTGATTAGATCAGAGGGGTCTACTTTGAATTAAATAAATAAAGACATTGAAAAACCTGATAGAAGTTAAACAAACGTGGTTGTAAGGAGGCCATCCCAGCATAATTCTACTGGGATCTGACTACTTTTCTCAGTAGTAGAAGTATCAGTAGCAGTATCTCAGAAGTAGCAGTATCTTTCTTCAGGAAAACTAAAACAAGGAGTCAATAAGAAAACAAAACAAAACAAACTCGTATGTTGCGTGAGGGGAGACAGCTAGGCTATAGCTATGCTTTGATTTACAGTAAACTGGTAGTGAGATATTAGAAACAGCCACAACAGTGGGGGGTGTCTGACCTGTGGCCCACAGCCTGATTTTGTGATGATTTTCTCTGCTTATCTGTGGTGTAGGATACCATGGAAAGCATGCACAGATTTATTTGCTAATCAGCTTTCACTAGTGTTTGTGTGTTAAATGCGTGGCCCAAGACAATTCTTATTCTTCCAATGTACATCAGAAAAATAAAAAGGTTGGACACTCCCAGAGAGGTACCCCCTTCCAACCTTTGCCATTCCATGTTTCTGTATCAGCTATAAAGGAATGATTAAAATCAGTGTTTACCCACGTGGAGGCTATAAACTGAGTTTGGTGAAGTATTAACTGTAACTATTACAGACTTTCAAGGAAGATATTAAATTATATCTGGGGGTTAGCTTTCTTTTTTATTTTCTTGACAGAGTCTCACTATGTTGCCTTTGGTAGAGTGCTGTGGCGCTCACAGCTCACAGCAACCTCAAACTGTAAGGCTTAAGCAATTCTCTTGCCTCAGCCTCCCAAGTAGCTGGGACTACAGGTGCCCACCACATCGCCTGGCTACTATTTGTGTCGTTGTTTAGCAGGCCCGGGTCAGGTTCATTCCCGCCCCAGTGTATGTGGGTGGCGCCCTAACCACTGATGGGGGGCGGTTAGTTTTCTTAAAACTATGGTCTTCTGCCAGGCACGGTGGCTCACGCCTGTAATCCTAGCACTTGGGCTAGGTCGAGGTGGGGTGGATTGGCTGAGCTCACAGGTTCGAGACCAGCCTGAGCCAGATTGAGACCCAGTTTCTAAAACTAGCTAGGCATTGTGGCATGCACCTGTAGTCCCAGCTAATTGGGGGGCTGAGGCAAGAGAATCCCTTGAGCCCAAGAGTTTGAGGTTGCTGTGAGCTATGATTCCATGGCATTCTACCAAGGGCCACAAAGTGAGACTCTGGTCTCAAAAGAAAAGGTCTTCAAGCCTACTTTACTATTAGCAAGAACAACAAAGCGTCTAGGTCACAGGTGCAGCTGTGAAAATTCAAGCATCAAAAAGAATGGACTGAAACACATTCAAACTATGAAAACTCATGAGACCACAATTATCCCAAAAAATGAAAATGGAAAAAAACCAATCCTCATTTGTCACCATCCATTAAATCAACTCTTTGCTTTGATGTTGATAATGAAATGGAAATAATAAAACATTCGATTTGTAAGAACTGTAACTAAGGATGATCAAATAATACAAGCTGAGAGAAAATTATAATTGACATATAACAATCAACCAATAAATAAGAAGAAATAAGAGAATTAGGAAAAAGTTCACAAGAATTATTTGATGTTAAAACTCCTGGGTAAATGGCTAATGGGGGACTGGGTATCCATTCAATGCCAAAGGAACATCATCTAGATAATTCTGAAGTCACAAAGGGAAAAGCCAACCTGGAGGATGAGGCCGTCCTGCCAATCCAGTGGTCTACTGTAGTACTATTAATGACACTTAAGTAGATATTACATGTTTTCCATATGATGCAATCATGAAACATGTTTCTTATCTATGATATATACACTAGCACAAAATGTTTTAGTTCCAACCCATGAAGCCTTTAACTTCAGGTTGTAGGTAGTTCAGAGAATAAAGAAACAAGCTAAACACCACCATGAAAAAGGAATGGGAGTTCACCAGACATCTACCTCAGCTTTAACAAGTCAACGATCTGAGGAAAGGAACTGTGTCAGCTTTAAAATAGACCAAACAGACTCAAAGAATCATGACCAGTTGCAGCAAAAAGTCATAGAATATCAGTTTAGACAAGCCAACTGCAAATTTGGGGATAACAGGGAAATTTGAATAATGTCTGAGGTAAAAGTGTTCTGTAATTTCAGCACTTTGAGAGGGTAAGGCAGGAGGATTACTTAAGGCCAGGAGTTCAAGACTGGCGAGGCCCACAGCTATAATCCTAGCACTCTGGGAAGCCAAGGCAAGTGGATTGCTTGAGCTCAGGAATTCGAGATCAGCCTGAGCCAGAGTGAGACTCTGCCTCTAAAAAATAGCTGGGCATTGTGGTGGCAGCTAGTCCCAGCTACTTGGGAGGTTGAGGCAAGAGAATTGCTTAAGCCCAAGAGTCTGAGGTTGCTATGACTCCATGGCCCTCTACTGAGAGTAACAAAGTGAGACTCTGTCCCCCAAAAAACTCAGTGAGACCCCAATAAAAATGTTCTGAAATGAGGTTGTAGGTAGTTCAGAGAATAAAGAAACAAGCTAAACACCACCATGAAAAAGTAATGGGAAGTAATTAAAAAAATAGGTTATAAACTCTATGTAGATATGATCTTATTTTGGTTAAAAATGTCAATATATATGCATAGAAAAAGACCTAGAAGGATATATATTAAGGTATTAACAGTGGTAATCTCTAGGTGGTGAGAATATAATGCTTTTCTTTTCTTAATTTTGCTTGCCTGTTTTAAAAATTCCCCTATCTGGCTGGGTGAGGTGGCTCATACCTGTAATCCTAGCACTCCAGGAGGTCGAGGTGGATGGATTGCTTGAGCTCAGGAGTTTGAGACCAGCCTGAGCAAAAAGCGAGACCCTGTCTCTACTAAAAATAGAAAAACTGAGGCAAGAGGATCACTTGAGCCCAACAGTTGGAGGTTGCTGTGAGTTGTGATGCCACAGCACTCTACCCAGGGTGACAGCTTGAGACTCTGTCTCAAAAAAACAAAAACAAAAACAACAAATTCCCCCAATATACTTACATCACTTCCATAATAATAAAAGGTTATTTTAAAACAAGAACTTGTAGAATAGTTTGGGTTTCCTTGTTGTGTTAGATTAACAGACTACAGTCTATAGACCAAGCACAAAACCAAGTAACCACTGTTCATCTGGGGATAGCATATCCTATTCATAGGCAAAGTACTTAAAGGAAATAAATATTTTCTTTTCTTTTTTTTTTTTTTTTTTGAGACAGAGTCTCACTATATCATCCTCGGGAGAGTGCCATGGCGTCACAGCTCACAGCAACGTCAAACTCCTGGGCTTAAGTGATTCTCTTGACTCAGCCTCCCAAGTAGCTGGGACTACAGGCACCTACCACAATGCCCGGCTATTTTTTTTGGTTGCAGTTGTCATTGTTGTTTAGCCAGGCCAGGCCAGGCTTGAACTCTCCAGCCTTGGTGTATGTGGCTGGCGTCCTACTCAGTGAGTTATGGGTGTCGAGCCAAGGAAATAAATTTTAAGTGCTCAGCTTACAAAGGTAATACTAAAAAGTAATAGACATGTTACTACCCAATAAATATAGGCAAGAGGCCAATTTTTCTTTGAAATATTCAATTAAAAAAAAACACAAGTGAGATACATCTTGCTATTATGCGTCATTCACCCTCCAAATCAAGCCTTGACTACTAGTGGTTACCTTTACGAAAAAAAATTGCTGTCTATTTAAAATGTGTAGATGAGAAATTTCATGACAAGCTCATAACCCCATCCCAGGCCGAGGTCCTCATCTAGGCCTCTGGAGTAGCAGGTGTGGCATTGGGCTCCAAGTCGTCCTGCAGGGGGAGCGCTGAGGCTTCCTGTTCAGCGAGCGCCTCCCGCAGTTGGCTGCCTAACACTGCATCATGAATACTGTGGAACAGCAGCTCCCATAGGGCAGGATTTTCAAAAAATCTATTTCGAGTGAGGTCGTTCACTACTTGTGCTGTGAAAAGAAGAAAAGAAAATTAGTCTTCACTCTGGAGAGGGGTCTGGAACACTTTTTAAAAAGTAACACTTTCATATAATTTACATATGAAAACGCTTTAAGTACAAGTTTCACTCCAATCCCTCTCTCCAGGGCATCACACCTCTAGTTCCAGGAAGTTACTTTAATTACTTTCTTGTATTTTCTTCCAAGATTTCCCTATGCAAATATAAGTAAATATATATTTTCTTCTTACTCCTTTTCTTACCCCAAAGATAGCACACATATTTTATTTGGTGCTTGAATTTTTTCCAGGCTTTGTTTTCGTAGACAATGCTATGATGATCAACCACATGCATAAGTCATTAAGAATGTGTGAAGTATGTTACTGGATTTGCTATGTTAAAAGGTAAATATGTTTATAATTCTGAAATATATATATATATATATATAAAAAACATAGATATATGTATAAATGTCATTCCTTCCTCCATAGGGGCTGTTCTATTTTGCACTCCTGCCAGTGATGCCTGAGAGAGCATCTTTCCCACTGTGAGTCTACAGATCATTTTGTCAACCATTTTTGGTTTTTGCCAATCTGACAGGTAAAAAGTGAGTCTTTATATAGATTTTATTTTCAAGTGCCGTTTTAACCAAAATCTAACATACAACAAAAATAGCAGTCCAGGTATTCCAAAAACAAGTAGATGGAGAAATAAGCAATCTGAATGATTTTATAAAACTGTAATATGTTTGTGCGACCATTAAATAATAAATGCTGGTGTATTAGCTCCTTTCTGCCAACTCCAGGACAGGAGGCCTGCTGTACCCCAGTAACCTGGTGATGTGAGTGCCCAAAAGTGGCTAATTTCAAAGCTGGCTGTAGAGGGATTTTTCAGAAGAATAATTTTTTTTTTTTTTTT